GTGTGTGTATGTGAGAAAGTGCATATGTATGAGTGAGTGTGCATGAGTGTGAGTGTGTGTGTATGTATGAGAGTGCATAAGTGTGTGTGTGTGTGTGTGTGTGTGTGTGTGTGTGTGTGTGTGAATGTATGACAGTGCATAAGTGTGTGTGTATGTGTGAGAGTTCATAAGTGCGTATGTATGTATGAGAGTGCATAAGTGTGTGTGTGTGTGCATCTGAGAAAGTGCATATGTATGAGTGAGTGTGCATGAGTGTGAGTGTGTGTATGTATGAGAGTGCATAAGTGTGTGTGTGTGTGTGTGTGTGTGTGAATGTATGAGAGTGCATAAGTGTGTGTGTGTGTGTATGTATGAGCGTGCATAAGTGTGTGTGTGTGTCTCAGCTCCACCCCTAGCAGACCCCTCCATGTTAGTGTGTTCTGCAGGTTTGGTATCTGCTGCTGTTTTCTCTCATGGGTTATTTTTAGCAGCAGGAGTGAGAGACAGAGGGAGGAGTGCGAGTCCGTCGCTCTGCTGTGCATCTGTGCGTCTCTCCTCCCTGCTCCCTGCCTCCTGTCCATCACACCTCAGCTTCCTGTGTTTCCATGAACACATGAGCCCATCCAATATCCTCACACCAAATACATCTTCATGGGTATTATACATTTAAAGCAGACAATAACTTGTTTTTGTGATTTTAAGATACCAATGTATGTGTTTCACATTTTTAAGCCGAATATACTAATGTATATACTTCTGGTTCCATACAGGTACCTCTTTTCCCATCATGCTCAGCATTTCCACCATCCCCCCTCCTCCCCTCCTCTGTGAAGCATTTTTGACTGAAATGAATTCGTGAATTCAATCATTCATGCATTCTCATCCATTATGTTACCAGGACACCTCATTGAGATTAACATCTCTTTTTCAGGGGGCCTGAAACACACAGCATCAATCACAATGACTACACAAATGAATGGAAACAAGTCTCAGTTAGAAACAATGGGTAAAACCCAGAAACAGCTGCACTTTTCATTAAAAGTGTTAAAGACTGAGTGCTTAAAATCAGAGAGTAGTGTTATCATATCCAATTCAAGTTAGCTCAGGTGATTATTCCAGCTTTCGTGTGCAAGGTAACATAGGATGGTTTTCCCCGAGGTCTGTAGAGGGCCAGGGGACATTCAAAAGTAACAGTTAGGAGCACTAGCAGCAGAGGTGGACAGTGCCAACTTAAAAATGCAGAAGCTCTCCTGTGTACTTTTCCACCCATGAAAAAAGCCAGCTCACCGTAATGAGCACAGCCCCTCAGCCAGGTAGAGGAGCTAATGAGTGAAATGGGTTGCGTTGGTGCATGGCTGGGACAGATACATGGTGATGCTTCTGCCCTCTGAGGCTGGGGTCTCCCACTCCTGATCAGCAGTGTGCATTTAAGCCTGCCTGTAGTTTCCCACACCTGAAAAAGCTGAAAAAGTAGACCTTTGAAGACATTCTGCAACTTTCCCCAGTTTTCTCGTAAGCAAACAAAAAAATCTCATACATTAACCTATTGTTCTTTATTTTTTCCCCAGACTGTTCATTAAAAATAATATCTTAAGTGAAAAAAAGTGCTATTTTGAGCTGAAAAAGTAACATGCATTCAAAATTCTCATGCTAGCACTTCATATTGCTTAGTAAGTGTAATTAAAAAAAAAAAAAAAAAATGAAACACTGGTGTTTGTAGTTGCCATAGGACACTTATTACAATGAATATGCTTTTTTCATAATGACTTGCATAGCTTGTGTTTTTACACACTATCCATTCATATACATATTTAAGGAATTTAGGTGTAGCACCTTGCTTACAGCAGCAGTGCCCTACCAGGAGGAGTTAATGTTTGACTAAAACATGCTCCTTTCTCACATACATCCCGTAAACCTTGCACACCCATCCAACCCAACCCTGCCCACCTTGTCTCTCCGCCATCTTCCCCACTGCTGGGTCCTGATGCAGGGTTGCCATGGTGATGTGGAAGTATGATTCATTACAGACTTCCTCTCCCCCCCCATTTCTTTTTGCAGAGTTCTCAGCTCCCTCTCTCTGTCTCTTATATCCAAATAAGCTTTAGAAAAAATATAGTTCATGACTTTGCAGCAGAAACTCTAAACTGCGCTGCCCCATATCCTGTATGAATGATGATGACCAATTTAACCAATGAGATATTCACAAATGATTAATCTTCCCTACACAAATACTAGCATAAGGGACAGTGGACTGGCACGCTTGTCACACCAGCTGCTACTTCTCTCCTCTACCCACAGATGGTGCCGGCACAGCCTGGACCCAGCTCTGGATCACAGCATGGATAAATGCGCTAAGGGCTTGTGTTTTATCAGAGATGCCACCACTCAGCAGCTCTCTTACCAGCACATATTTCAGTCAGGAGCATGCTGAGTGCTTAGCTTCTCCCGTGTGACGGAATGAGCTTTGATATGGGGAAATGCAGCAGCCCGCCTTGTTACGGTGTTACATGCTGGTGTTCTAGAACACTCACACAGAGCCCTATTGTGATGTAACACATCTGTGTGAGTTATGCCAGTTATTCAGCATTCCTCCATCCTCTAAGGCTATTAGTCACCTCTAAGCTGAGAAAATCACTCATACACACACATATATATGCACACACACATTACAACCAACAGATGTAGTCATTCCAAGAACTAATTGCCAAGTTATGTGTAAGAAGGAAGCTGAAAAATATGGGGTGCAAATATGTAGAATGAAACCCTCATAGTTGACAGTTCAGGATCCCTTCTGCTTTTATGCTCTCCTCTCTTACTACGCAGCCACTGCTACTGCCACCATCACTCATAATCTGATGGAGTTTGGCACTAGGCCATCTCTCCATCCTGATTGGTTATGAGGAGGGCTTGACTCTGATTGGCCTCTACACGCTTAAAAAAAGGTTTCTAAAGGGTTCTTCGCTTGTCCAACTGGGTGAACCTTTAAAGGTTCTTCTTTGATATAGATTTCAGTCACTGGTTCTCTGTAGAACATTATTCTGAGGGTTATATAAAGAACCTCGTGAAGATATCTGTATCTAAGATGAACCTTTAAGGGTTCCCCCAGCAGGACAAATGAAAAACCTTTGAAGGTGCTAGAAAGCCCTTTTTCAGAACAGAAGTACCTGACTCTTACACGAGGGAGAGAGGAGCTCCCTCTGCATTCCCCCCTCCCACCAACCCGAAGGTCCCAACAGATGGTGGCTCCGCCCACGGTGACATCTGCTGGGACAGGAGCGGCATGGCTCGGGGGGGGGGGGGGGGGGTCATAATACTGCAGGGAGCTGCAGAGTTCCAGCACATTACCTGTGTTTGACCACCTGTGAACACTTTCTGGGCCTGTTACATCACCTCCTCCGCCTTTAACAATTCTAGAACTGGACGTCCAGAGACTGAACATCCCTGAGCCGCTGCTATGGAAACGGGTTTGTGTCCTTGCGCAGATTCTTCATTTCTTGGCCAGAGGTGACACAAAAAGCTTTTTATTTTACTTTCAATTCCTCTTAAATGATGAGTCTTTATTGCTAAATATCACAGAGAGCCAGAGCAGATGCAGTGATGGGACAATGAGCGGGAAACACAGAAACTAATTTTCTCTTTAAACTTTGCCGAGGTGAAATGCCTCTTTAACTGAAAAACACCAATGCTAGGAGCTTTGCCATTAACGAAGTTGCTGAATTACCTTGATCTGCACATTGAATAAGTGTGCGATGAATAGAGCACAATCTTCTCCTGTTTGACTAGCGTGCATTTGCAGACAGACAGGCAGACAGACAGACAGACTCACAGACACACAAGGGGAGCTCATCCTGTTAGGATCCACTTCTCCCCGCCAACCTCATACCTTTGATATAATTTTTTCATCTTTTTTTCATATTTTTTTCTAGACATTCTTTGAGCACCAATCCTTTGCGTCTGTCCGCCCCCACGTCCATGGCAACAACGCTGCCGTCTCTTAGTAACAACACTTACGCAAAAAAAAAAAAAGGGGGGGGGGGGGGGGGGGGAGACATTTCTGAAAGACACAATGATGGAGACAGAGGTCAGCAATATAATCAGGGCTTATTCTTTTTTGTTTTTTTTTCAGAGATGGCAGAGAGAGAATCGGTTATGATTTTAGAGGGGAGAGAATGGAAAGGAGAGATAAAATCATTACAAAAAACAAAGACTGAGTCAGAAGATGTGGTTATTAATCTGAGGATGGGTGAAATATTTTTCACAGATTGTGCAGGCATTGCGCAAAGCAGCCAATTAACGCATTCATTTCCTTTTGCTCAAATTTTCAAAATGTGACGTGATCAGATGAATCATCATGTTTCACCATCTTTCTGAAAAACAGATAACTACATGTGTCACAGATACCTAAATAAGCCAAAAGGTCTTAATGCTTGGGTCCGAACATTGAAGAGTCCCAATTCAATTCAGTTCCATTCAATTTTATTTGTGAATTGCTTGTAATACTACAGACCATTACAAAGGAGATCTCAGGCCTAAGCCCCTCCGAGAGCAAGCCTAGGGAAACAGCAGCAAAATTCCCTGACTAACAGGGAGAAACCTTGAGCAGAACCTGGCCCAGAGAGGCAACACCAGGTAGTTCATGAATATAACAGCAGAGTATATGTAGTGCCACGCATGTGGCCAGTGTCAGCTGGCAGGGAGGTCCTGTAACTGGGATGACCCTGGGCTGGATAACTGAGCTGAAGGCTGGGGTGGGATCATTGACCCACAGCTCCAGGTGGGGGCTCGGAGCAGCAGGGAGAGGGACAGGAGAAGAGCATTGAATGCTCTGATGGTTCCTGATGGTTCTGTAAAAGTCTGGGGTGCATTCTCCTGGCATGGCCTGTAGGTGCAACACAGCAGTGATGGCTGGGGTGATTTACTCACTTCACTATGAGGGACCCAGAGACCATGAGATAATGCACAATTGTTATGATAAATAGGCTTCATTTATTGCAAAAAGGCTCTGCTAGAAACAAAATGTAGCTATGATGGCCGAGTGGTTAAGGTGTTGGACTCGAAATCCAATGGGGTTTCCTTGCACAGGTTCAAACCCTGTTCACAACGTAGGAAGCCTTTACCCCTCAAAAGTTTGTCATTAGGCAACAGAAGCCAAATAAGCAGTTGTGTTAAGTTATGACCAACTTAAGGAGAACAAACTCTGAATGACTTCCTGAAAAAAAAGTCAAGGCTCCATAAACCAAACCTATGATCAAATCATAGGTCTGCTTTATAGACAATGGCAAACGAAACAAAGTATGTTGACACCAAAATGGATTAAGCTACAGATGATCTGTCAACTTCTGAATTGTTTCAACTAATTAAAAAATGTTGCTCTTTACGGCAAATCACAATGATTGGTCAAATCAGTTTGTAGATGTTACTATGTTAGCTCCACCCATCATTATTTTCACAATAATTGTTTCCTCCATAACTTTTCTGGATCCATTGTCGTGATGAGGGGGCGGAGGCTCTTTGAACAAATTGATGGGTGGACTGACCAATGATTCTGACCAGAGAGCATTTTTTGTACCATTCATATGCACTTTGCCTTGGAAGTTGCTCTGGATAAGACTGTCTGACAAATGCCTTTAATGTAATGTAATGTTTTTGCTGATAACAGAAAGCATTTTGTTTGGTTGCAATTAGTCTTTTTTTCCCCCTCAAGGGTTGGAATCCTGCTTGCAGAGTAGGTGCCTTTTGTAAGACAAGGGCAAATCAGTTTACACTGAAAGCAATCACAGGAGCCATGTGCTAAATTACAAACCATTTAGGCTTGATTTTGAAGGAAAGCAATGGCTCTACTGGGGGTTGAACACAGGACCTTCAACATATAAAGCAAACGTGCTAATGACTACACTATGGAAAACTACACAGCTCCTGTCACTGCTCCAATGTTCACATATCCTAGGCGCACAGATTCGATAGCCTTCCTACATGTGGCTTAACCAGCTGGACTTGACCTCCAGCCAGGTTTCTCAATGCAGGTACAAACCCTGCTCACAGTGTTTGCATGCTTTCTGTGGTTTGGTTGGGGAGGTTTCGTGAGTATGGATGGGGTAGGCTGCTTTTGTAACCAGAATTTGTTGGATAGGTCTGTCATACCAATGGAAAAAGCACAGTCTCAGAAATGAACTAATGTATCTATATGGAGCAGAGTATTCCATTCCCCTGGTGCACTAGAGGAAGGGTGTTTTTTTTGGCATTGCCTTTTAACAATTTGTCTGATTTGTGTAACCTGTAGGTTCCATAGTGTAGTGGTTATCACGTCTGCTTTACACGCAGAAGGTCCTGGGTTCGAGCCCCAGTGGAACCATCTGTTTGATTAATTAAAGTAGCACAAACTGCACCAAGTTTTCATAATTTAATTTGAACTTTGTATAAAGTACATCTGGGGTGCATTCCAATAATCAAAATGTGTATTCTCCCCTTCTGCAACACCACTTCATCTCCTCCATGCCCCAGAAACGGATCTATTTGTCCTCCCTTCCTCCAATGTTCCAAAATCATAGGAGGCAAGCGAAAGAGACTAAATCTTCATCAATGTATCCTACCATGGAATTTTTTCACATTTCTTGGTGACTTCATTGAGCTCATGACCAGTCAGATTAAAAGACCACCCCAAAAGTTCTTTTTACCATCAAAAAGTTAAAAAAGAAGACTATGGACTGAAACACTGCTGTACGACAAAACACACTTATGCTGTAAACAGGGTTTGAATCTATACTAACCCCTTTGGATTTCAAGGCCAGCGCCTTAACTGATCAGCCATCACAGTCACATCAGAAAGATATCTTCATGGAGAACGGCTGGGAGCTGAGAACAGAGCCTTGAGGAACGCTCATGTGGAGGCCATGGAACTCTGACGATTAGTGACTGGGAGATGATGAAACAGAAGCGGAGAGATCATGTGTATTAACTTACACCCAAACGAGGTCAATGATTTACAACAGGAATGGTCAAATCTGCTGCTTTGGGCACAGCAGAGCTGCTGGATTTCATTCTTCTCCTCCAATCAGAGACTTATTTACACCTGGGGCACCTGGTGAGTCAAGTCACCAATCAGTTCCAATAATCAATCAATATCAGGTGAAAAAGAAAACCAGCAGTGCTGCTGGCCTTGAAGGTGCGGTTTGAGAATTGCTCCTGCAGCCCACGAAAAGCATAATTCAGAGATACTCAAAACTCGCCTTGAGGGCTAGCAGTATTGCTGCTTGTTTTATTTACAAGCTTTGAACATTTAAGACAAAAAGACAATCTCCACTAGTGTTTAAGTCCAGGACATTCTGCTTGAAAAGCAAATGTGACAACAACGGCAGTATGCAACCTTGCATTTGAGGGGGTACATTCTCTAAAGGGTCTGTCCATCACATGCACCTCATACAAAGCAGTTGTGTGGTGGGAATTCTGGCACGAAATAGCAGCTGTGTAACACTCACGTTTGGTGGCCTAGTTTGGTGTAACACTCATGTTTGGTGGTCTCTGTGGCACAAAATGGCAGCTGGGTAACACTCATGTTTGGTGGCCTCTCTGGCACAAAATTGCTGCCTGGAAAACCCACATGAGTGTCATGTGTTGCTGGTGGCTGAGGTGGTATAAATATCAGTATAGATTTCTTTGTTACCATAAATTATGCTAATTTTGTAACAGTTTGATGATTTACTTTGAATTCTTTGAATGAAAACTTAGTCAAGCCCTGGACTGACCTTGCCAAACTATATACAATGGGTGACACTCGCCCCTAAACCTGTGTATCTAACAGAAGTATCATAAGTGTAAGTGGGCGGTATGGTGTTTGGTAATATTTACATTAAATCTTACCTGCCCTTCTTCCCCAACATGCAAGAGGGTAATTCACAGATTTTTAAAGGGGAACACAACACAAAGGATTAAACAACACAGCAAGAGTTTAAATTAAACAAAAGTTTTGAAAACAACGACTAGCAAAGAGCAAAAGCAAGTGATGAACTGATGAAAGTCTTGAGAAGCGGAGCAGAGGGTTTAAAAATTGTCGCGGGGAATGTTGATTGAAGGAAGCGGGTAGCGGATTGAGAGTGGATTGGATGATAAAGTTGCACAGTAACCAGGGGTGGACCAATTGAGGATGAACACCTAATATGAATGAAAGGCGGGAGAAAGAAAAACAAAACAACATAAAGACATGAAAGAAACCCATGCACAACCAAGGGCATAACACAAAGCCATGAGGGACACTCTTGAGGAGGCCATGGAATTCTGACCATCATTGACTGGAATCTAATTGTAACACAGGCATTTTTGGTGTCCAGATACCTCATTCTCTCATCACTAGGCCACAATTCAATATCACCGTCTGGGACTGAGTACCTTATATCATGTCAAAGCTTGGAAAACATCAGTGCTGGTCTCTTTGGCTGCAATTTGACTGTCTTGACCCTTTGCCTATCACTTTTGAAGGAATTCCTTGCCGTGTTTAACGAATTGGGCTGTGATGGCCGAGAGGTTAAGGCGTTGGACTCGAAATCCAATGGGGTTTCCCCGCACAGGTTCGAACCCTGTTCACAGCGAAGGTGTATTTTATCCCTTAAAGATGTTTCAGCATGACACAGAAGCGGAGAGATCATGTGTATTAAATTATGCCCCTCATCCAAAGCAGTTGTGTGGTGGGAATTCTGCCACGAAATAGCTGCTGTGTAACATTCAATTTTGGCGGCCTCTATGGCACAAAATGGCAGCTGGGTAACACTGATGTTTGGCGGCCTCTCTGGCACAAAATGGCAGCTGGGTAAAAGTGATGTCTGGCGGCCTCTATGGCACAAAATGGCAGCTGTGTAACACATATGTTTGGTGTCAATATGGCACAAAATGGCAGCTGTGTAACAATGATGTTTGGCAGCCTCTATGGCACAAAATGGCAGCTGTGTAACAATGATGTTTGGTGGCCTCTATGGCATAAAATAGCAGCAGGGTAACACTGATGTTTGGTGGCCTCTATGGCATCATCTCATGCATTGTTGTTAGGGGTGATATAGATATCAGTGTGAATGATTCCACATCACTTTTACACTCACTTGTCTTTGCATGAAAACTCAACCACTTTGGTAGCGAGCTGTCGCTGTGAACAGGGTTCGAACCTGTGCGGGGAAACCCCATTGGATTTCAAGTCCAACGCCTTAACCACTCGGCCATCACAGCTTGCTTTTACAGCACGTGAACAATTCTTTGGTAGTCAAGAAAACAGATGTGAAAGTCTAGCTCATTGGAGGGGTTGGGGGTTGAGTTGTATGAATTATAGCCTTAATCAAAATATTTTAGACTTTTTGTTTAATAAAATAAGAGCCAGGTTGATTCTCAGACATTGATTTGGAAAAGATTTTCCCTCACCATAATGCATATCAGATCCTGTATTTTTTTTCTTTTTTTTTTTTTTTTTGCACAGGCCTGTATACATTCTTTCATGATGAAAAGGCCAGTATAATATCTACGAAATATGATTGCAACATTTTCCAAAGACAATTACTAAAGGTTTATTGTAAAAAAAAAAACATCAAAATATAATGTTCACATTATTAGTTTGTTTGTTTTATTCTTGCATTATTTTTCCTTCATAAAAAAATCATTCGTCCAGTACCAATAACTTCACAGCTTATTTTTTTAAAATCGATCATACTGTACAGCTGGGTCTTTGACTGAAGCGTTCTGGATTCAGTTCTTAGCTCAAGGGTACAGAAGCGCCCTGCCTGGGAATCGCACCCAGTTCCCAAACCATTACTGCCTCCTACAAACTCCACACTCAATCACGACAGCAGCCGCCTGCCTCATTCTAACCCACTTACCTGATGACTGACTCTGGATCAGCTGGCACAGTCCCAAACCTGTGACCCTGACTGAGAAGAACATAATGGAACTGATCAAGGATCAGCGCAAGGGGGCAGAATTCATTAAGAGCTTCCCACTGCCACACCCTCTGCCACCAGTGCCCAGGAATTAGCTCATACACTGTGCAGCAGCCAGACACACACACACTCTAAAACATACCCACCCACACACACACACACAAATACAAGTACACAACCACACTATACATT